TGATTGTACTGTTATCAATCTAAAAAGATTACTTTAAGCGCGTTTTCATTCGTTTAGTGATCCACTTACCATGAAAATAGACGTATCTGCCCAGAAATCCTTAACCGTTCCACGTTTGTAACTGAAGTAATGACATTCTCTCTATATCATTCACTTTTTCATTATTATTATTATTATTGAATGTGAGGTGTGGGACCATGCAATATACGTTAGGCAAGCAAAAGCTGTATGACGTGTGATGTGTCTGTGTCTTGCTTCGGCCTCTACACGGTTAATGACGAATTTTGAAAACAAAATCAGTGATGATAAAATAATGAATAAACTAATATTCCAAGTCACTATTACCACGAAACTTTCGAAATGTTTCTAGTGAAGCCATACACACTGATATGTTTTGTGTTTGAGTATATCGGGCTAGTCGTTCTATCAAACTGGGTAGAAAATTCTGAAATTGTTCGAAGAAACTGACAAATTAAGCATTGAATGCTTATATGTTTGTATTATTCACTGGGCATATAACATGATTATTTTAGAGGTAGACTGATAAACTGAATCGATTGCACTTGGCAAACTGTGATTTTTCAACGAATACTAACTGTATTTTTCATATTTCCAGAACCAGATTAAGAGACTGAATAAGAGACTCTTGATTATTCTAACCTACTGAATGTGAGTCAAGATAGTCCTGATGATGCTGATATCAGCATATCAGTTCTGGTGTGTGGTGAAACTAATTATATACGATACTGAAAATACAGACTGGATACGAATGGATTAACAAAATGTTCGTGGTATCTTTGAGAGTATGAAATAACTTCTTTCTTATAATAGCAAAATTTATAACTTGTTATCAAATATTCCAACGTATTCAAAAATCACTTTGAGGGATTTTCACTAAACAGTTTTACAAAAACGCAATACGTATTTCCCCATACAATGGCTTCTTCGGGCGAGGAGTAAAGACACGTCCGAAGAAGCCATTGTATGGTGAAACACGTGTTGCGTCTTTGTAAAACTGTTTAGTGAAAATCTCACGATAAAGTGTTTTTTGGATACGTTAGTTATGGATTTTCATCAAGTATTGCCAATTCCATCATATATTAGATATTCAGAAAAGATTGTCAATTTTCCCGAATATAAAATTAGAGTTTTTAATACTTAGTAATACAGTGTGAGATTTTCACTATAAACTATATTAGTAGGTTTCGATATTGATTTTGTGACTTTTTTGGGATATATTCATGTGGCATTTTCTCAGAACAAAAAAAAATTAAATAAACATCTCTATAGAAAATACAACTTTCATCTCGGTAACTGCACATTATAAGGATTACTCATTACATTTTCAATGAAGAAAAAACACAAGCATTATAGAAAAATCCTTGAAGCGCTCTGAGAGCGGTGCCTGTGCGAAGGTAGCGATTCACGTTGGATTCGAACCGCTGGAGATTAAATACATTTGGAAAAACGTTCTCAGAATTTGGAGAAACGTTCTCAGAAAGTTTATTTTTCATGAACGCAGTTCTCTAAATGAAATAGTATTTCAACAGTGAATTTCGAGGTGTACTGAGTTGAACCTCAAAACTATGAGCAGCCACAGTCCAATGCGTTTTTCTGATATGTACCGCTCTTGGTGGAATCAAATGTGCCAGGTTACTTGGAACAATTTCCAAGTGACTATAGAAGAGAGACAAACCTTTAACCTTTCTTCGATGTTTCAGACTATCAAGGTTGCAAGTGATGTTTGCGTCTCCAATCAGGAAAAAACCGATGCCCGTGTTTTCGAGGCTTTGAATTGAACCTGGTTACTTTTAAGTCAATTCGAAATCACCTTTAGATCCTCATTGAAATATGCAACCTGCTTTTGCCGGTGAAGATGTGCATCCGCAGCCGATATCCTGGATTCCAAATGGTATGATGAGACAAGTGTGCTGTCGTCAGCAAAGCAATATATTGGATTTTTGTTTTTTTTTCAATAAGTCGTTGATATCCAATAAAAAAAGGGTTGGAGACAATATGGATTCCTAGGGAACACCAGCGGTGATGGTAAAAGTATCCAAAAAATATCCATCGTAGGCCACTTGCAGGAAACGTTCTTCCAAGAAGCTGGAGAGCCATACATAAAAATGATCCGACAAGTCATAGCATCGAAGCTTAGCCAGAAAAACCCTCATATAATACACGGTCAAAGTCCTTGGAAATATCAAGCGCAACAGCTATCGACTCTCCATGTTTCTCGATTGCGTTATTCCGAATATGGGTGACATACGATAGAAGGTGGCCTGCCGAAAGCCATATTGATGATCGCTCAAGATGTTAAAGCCTTCCAAGAGTGTGTAGATTTACGACTTTCTCCATGATTTTTTATATCACTGATAGCAAAGCGACTGGTCTATAGTTATTTGGAAGATATTTTCTGCCTTTTTGGGAATACTCAGGACGCGAGCAATCTTCCAACAAGAAGGAAAAACCCCTTTCTTGTAAGACACGTTGAACAGTCTGCAAAATACTGATGCGATTTCATTTGCGCATTTTTTAAGTACGATGACGGGCACTTCATCAGGACCAGACGCCTTGTTGATATTAAGCTGTTTCAAAATTCGCGTTTCAAATTTCCGGTATTGTGGATTCTAGTGTGGGAATATTGGGTGGTGCCTTTCCAAGAAAATCAACTGTGGAATGGGAAGCAAATTGTTCAGCTGGTAGACTTGCTTTTTTTTTGGCTGTTGTTGCAATTGAACCTTCCGCTAGTTTTAGTGGTGGAATTGTGGATTTTGTAAAGTTTTCATTTACAGCTTCAACTACCGACCAGAAAGATTTAGACCTGTTGGGATTGGCAAGTAGTTTATCTCAAATTCTCTGAATGTGAAATTCTTTGTTTTACACTCAACAGGATGACATTTTCAAATTCAAAATTCAAGCAACCATCATTTAAGTTTTTCAAATACGGTATTTTTCTACAGAATGCAATTTTTTAGTCCTTTTGAATGCAATATTATTTTCATGTTCGACCTTGTATTTGGAAAGAGAGAATAAAATTCATGTTTCTGAGGTAGATGTTACATATATACATGTTACAAATATTCAATTTATTGAATATATATTCTATTTATTGAATGTACATGTAAATATGAACAACATCTTCATTCCGCCGAATTAATCAAAATATCAGTTTAAGTAAATTGGTGAATGTTCTGGAACTTGAAAGTGTTAGTTGTTAGGAAAGCACAGAAAATGATTTCTTAATTCAATGTTCAATGGGTATTTGATTGAACGGTATTCATGAACCAGAATTTTTGTGGCAAGTGCTTTTCAGGAAACCTATTTAATTAATTATTGATTTATCGAAGCATTATATATAATCGATTGAAATGTGTGAATAGCATTAATTTTTGAAATTTTGCTAAGGAATGAGTGAACATCAATTTGATGAAAAAATTCGAGGCCGTCAAACGATTATATTCATAATCATTATACACAGAGGCGTTTGCCCAACTAAAATTTTGAGAATTATAAGATTGAACGCATTTTGGTTGATTGGGCTTTGTATGAAGTATATAAGATTATTTCCAGAAAAAGAAAACGATAAAATGAACTCAAATACTTGATTATCAAAATACAAATTTGAGGATTCATTCAAAATATTTCGAAATAATTCGGCTCTGAAAATTATAATTACCTGTCAATTTACAGCGCAGCACTGATTTATGTTTATTTTAATCGATCAAACATGTGTCGTGCATTCAATTGCTGTCATACTCTGTAAAAGATGCACAGCCTTTAACAATTTCGTTTTCATGTATTGAGGGCAATAATCATTTAGATGATTTCAATTCTCAAGAAAGTTTATTTTATTTACATTTTTCAAACACAGGATAGTACTTCAAAATAGTTTGGAAAAAATTGCCCTTTGGGTCTGTATTCAAAACATTCAATTATTGATTTTGACCAGAGCCTTGAGGTTGAATTTTTGAATTTCAAGTAAATCCTCGTGAAGAAAATATTAGATAGTGAAGCATCTATACCGTTTTCGTAATAAATAATGAAGTGTTGAGTGTTAAATTTGAATCATCATTTTTCCCAAAAGTTCCTTATGAGTTTCACCAACTCCATGAAGACATTAGAATGAGTTTACTCTTTACTACCTCTAACGTTCTTCATACTAAGCTTTAGGTGTAGAGAAATTTTCAGAAGAGAACTTTGAATTTGAATGAAATGAATGGAATTGTTCTGTTTAATTATTGCTTCCCAATTTGCAAAGAACGAGCAGCCCGATCAGTATGCGTCGAGCCTTAGGGCGCCCACAATGCAGAGCCGAACCACAACCTGGTACACGACGGGTTTTGAAACATACTAGAAAGCATCTGCATGCGCTTGAAATAATGGAAATCCCCATCGTTTTACCAGTGTAAGTCAGACCCTGAAATGCACGCGCCCGAAGCAGAGCGAGCCGAGCAGACATCAGCACACGCAGGTACGACGCCTTACGACGACGCCTTTTCAAATGGTGCTTACTGTGCGCAGTGGGGTGGAGTGGGTGATGGGGTTGGGTCATATTTCCGGGGCCGACCACGCGACAGGTGGCGCCGCTTCACGAATTCGGCATCGTCCACCATCCAGAATGACCCAAAGTCGTCTTCGTAGCGCACGAAACACTTGTGGAGTGACAGATTGGTGCGAATCGCATTCTACACACCCAGACCCAAGAAAGAGAAAGATAACAATCAAGTAAGGTCAAGGTTAGTTCTTGGCGACACCCGGTGCTATAAATTATACCTTCCGATGACGGTGGCGTCTGGTTCTCCTGTTAGTCGCCAAGCCAGCGGCTGACATGCGGTTACTGGACCAGCTAAACATCACGCACACACGCACACCACACAAGCCACACATTGTTAATAAGAAAAATATGTATAAAGGATGTAAAAGAGATAAGAAAAAGAGATAAAAATCACAAAACACACAATGTACAGAGGTGAATATGGTGGCCCTCGGAGACGTACCCGACGACTGGTTGCGACAAGGGGCCCGATGAGCACCGCTGCGGCCGCCTCTTGTAGAATTCCACTTCGTCCACGGTCCAAACGGCCCCTTTAACATTCTCCACGCGCATGAAACATTTGTGGAGAGATAGGTTGTGGCGTACAGCGTTCTAACAACAAATCAAACACCGCCAAATGAACAACGGCGCTAGAATCGGTCACAGGCAAGCAACGCCGTAGACAACGGACAATAAAGCCTTAAGAATACTAATGGTTAACACGTATTTGTTACTTCAGTGAATTCGGCAAACCCTTCTCAAGAAATATGAATTTCTAAAAGATGCTTAAACTCACCACCAGCTAAAGATAACGCAGACTTATCACTCAGTCGCCTCCTAATGGGTCCGGGAACGTTGGGCGATGGAGAATGCAGAACTGGAGATCTCACAGAAGAAACCATGGGTCCCATGGAGACAGGAGGTTGCGGCAAAGATGTACTCACCGACATCTTTACCGTGGAAGAGTCCTTGTGAGTATCTGGTGATCCCATCTGTTTAGAAAGATGGAGGTGGTGCATCATAGCTTGAAGTCTATCCCTCTCTTTCTGAAGTTGGAGCTCTAGTTGAGAAACGACTTGCATTTGAACACGAGCTTGGGCAGTGGATCTATCATCAAGGGTGTGTTCTGTGTTTAAATGCCTGAAATAAAAATAATTGCTTCAGTATTGTCATTTGAAGAGGTTTTGGAAATAGTATGGAAGCCATATTGGTCAAAAAGGAGAGAGATGGCTATACAAACTGCAGGTTCTGGGAGGAACAAGATAGATCGAGAAAGGAGATCGAGAAGTCCATCTAGATCGCCTACAGTAGTATTGATCAGAAGGACCAATATAGAGGGACCAGAAAATTCGATTGGAAGGTATACAATTGTCGATGAAGGTTGTATACTCAGAAGCGATACTAGATCCCAAAGTAACCAATATTCAGATAGGATAAAAAATGTGGGAATAACACTGATGTTGGCCAGATTCACCAACAGAAAGACATCAGGGGTGGAACCAGATATGATTCATTGGTGGCTGAACTCATACTAACATGTGATTTTTTTTCGGTGGCCAAAGGTGAAACAAGTGAATGCTCGACTGAATTGGATGAAAAACTGACAATTTGGAAATAATGGTAGCAATGAAAATCGCACTAACAGCAGCCTCGAAATAACAAGGTAGTCAAGAGTGGTCCAAGTCAAACTGGAAAAATTCATCAAAAAACAACAACATCAACATCAAAGAATAGGATGAAATGGAAACAAACATCACAAACATCACAAACATCACAAACATCACAAACAAACTGTGATTGTGCTAAACGGATCATCAATTTTATATTTGGGTCCAGAAACAGATGCGGAGTACCAGATGCGGGCCAGAAAGAGTTTTGGAAGATATACCTGAGATCCCATGTATTAAAGAACCATCATGAATATATAGTTTTCAGAAAAAGGCGCAACGAGTTCATAACGTTGCAGGTTTTTCGGATAATTGGAAGAAATGAGGCAGTTGTTCAAGCTTAAGACAGAAGGTTGAAGAAATGTTTGAGGTGTCAAAAATACTTTTCAAAACATTATTCGAATCATCAAAGAGAATCAGAATTAGAATTGAAAATTCAGCAAGTAAGTGAAGTTTTCCGGTCTGCCGTGATGGGTATCTATCTTTGTCAGGTTGAAGTAGCGACAAATGATAAAAAATGAATGAATGGAGAAGGGATCTAGCCATTCAATATGAATGAAGAAGTAGGCATCAAATTGCAATTGCCAATCCCTTCCAGACTAAATTGAATTGAAGAACGTTTCAATTCTTTAATGGCGTCCTCGTGGAATAAACTTTTCGATATGTATAACTTAGACTGATTTGAATCCAACGTAAATAGCCTTTAAAAAACCTTCAGCACAAATGTCGTGTATATTCATTTTTATTTGTGTTATGAATTCCAAGAAGTGATTTTTCATGCATAGATATCTCATGGATCGCCCTATAGATCCGCCCCTTTAGAACGAAGGAAGTAATAAAGACTTCTCAAGAGATTAACATTGAATCCGGCAACGTGGTGATCAAACGCCTTGCATATTAATTGAACATAGCGTAATTAGAGTTTTTAAACCGCGATGTCGTCTTTAATTTATTCCAGGTCGCTTTTTCTTTTGTCGCTAAAAGACGACGACGACGACAAAATATTGTAATTTGATGGTTTAGGTAATCTCTCTTCCTTTCTGCTATTAATCACCTTAGAAAACGCATAGCATCAGACAAAATTGATGTTGGCTCCGACACGAAACAGGATGCCTATCGTCGCTCTGAAAACTACAGTAGGTACCAGATAAAATTAATATTACAAAAATATTGCATTTGATACAGTTACTTTTTCAGTACGGCAAAAGTTGGAAAATAATCTAAGTAACAACAAAGAAGATAAGTCATTATTCGAACGATCAGTAATTGAAAAAAAAATAGAATTCCTCAAAACACAACAAACAAATGAATTTCTGAACACCGATGGTTGTTCTCCCAGGTTGTTTTTCCCAAAACGAAATCAAAACAAAGTAACTATCCAGTTTTTACGACTATCGATACATAAAAACAAAACTTTCCACCAAGCAATGAAAATTGTACAATGATGAGTGATACTTTTTCAGATCACTGTCGAATTATTGGAAAATTTTCAGGAAAAAATCTCAGTAAAAGTTTGAAAGTGATGAATAAGACTCCTTGATTAACCCAAAATCATTGTCAAAACATAGCTCACAATTTGAATTGTGGGTAAGACTAATTATTTTCAAGATATACAATATTTATCTCATAGGAATGAGGTACTCGGGAATATAGCTTTCTACATCATAAATTCAACTTGGACTCACTTGACAAATGCTTGAAGATCTTCGCAGATGATTTCGCAACCAGGCCACCTACAAACTCCATGTCCATACAGATGATGCACTCTGTCGGGAGTGGTAGTTCTTTCTGGCTTTTCATCTATAGGCTCTTCTCTATTAGACCTACTAGGCGGCAGGCCTAGTAAACCCGGAGAATTATCTGGAACAAAAAAGAACACTTGGCGCGGAATATCAACAGTGCTTGAGTAAGTGTGAAGGCTATATGCTGGTGGCTATTATAATAAACAAAGTCTCTCAATTCGAATATTTTGGCCTCTCCTATAGGTATCTCTTATCAATGACAAAACTGTGAAAGGAAGGTTTTCTTATACTGACATTAAGTATGAGTATGCCCCTCTCCGCTTTCATCCTGAAACTAAATTCACTCATTCTATGTAATACCCAGCCACCGTTCTGATGGCAGTAAGAGTGAAACTCTTAAAAATTTTTTTTTAGACAATATCCGAAAGCAAACAAAAATGCAATGTGAGAAACAAATAAATTAGGCAGCAGATAAACCAAGAACCCATACTTGCTGGATAAAATTGAATATAAACAACTAGATTGGTACATACACTTAGTTCAAACAAAAAGAACTCAGAGAAAGGAAAAGAAGAGATCAAATTGACAAAATAAACGAAATAGGCCAAGAAAGAATAAAAATCGAAAAAATCCTTCGCTTTAAGGTAAAATGATTGACGCGAAAGGAAGATTTTGTAATTGTAATTTGAAAAATAAGAGAGGGCTTATAACGGCAAAATGAATATGAATGAAGTGGAATTTTCAAAGAGAAAAGTTAGAGTGGAGATGAATATGGGATCACTTCATATTATTTTTTGGTATAAAAATACAAGGTGATTGAAAAAGTTGTGGAGTTGAAAACAAAATTGATTTCGATACTACACCCGATATGGCAATAGGAAGCGAATTTTAATATCTTCAATAAATTAGTCATATGTCGCTGTTTCGAATTCGGCTTGAAGGACCACTGATTTAATTGTACTAGTGATCAGCCCTGGCTCCGCACGGTTACAACGCTGATACTAAATATAAATTCACTTACCGGAAATTTAAGAGCATGGAGAAACAGTGGTAAAGAAATATTTCGTATTATGGACGCGTTACAATTGAAAATTTGAACGGATAAGATAATCACATGGATACCTAAGTGTCAGGTAGATGAGCTGATAAGAAAATTGGAATGAAGAAGAATTGTGATCAAATTGTGTGTGTGGGAAAATTTGGCTTCGGTAATCACAAATCCTGAATTTGAACAATCTAAAAAAAGTTGTATGTATTTTTTACTAATCAAAGTCGACTTACCATTCAGTTCCGGCGGTGGTTTATTATTAACCACATGCTGATCGTTCATATCCTTCCATGGACTCATCACTTCTCGGGAGTTGAGACCTGCATAACACAAAAACACACACATGACGTCATTGACTGAAAGTGTTTGGTGACGGCATTGAAACGGTACACGTGCGTTTAAACCGATTGGACGGCCGTTTTCCAGCGTTGAGGTAGTCAAGATGGACATAAGGAAGGATCAAAAGGACAGGAAAGGCAAGTGCCAATAGTTTTAACCGCACGTGGACCATTCGTGTACAGGGCCGGCTATCGGCACTGCCTTGGGCTCCATCGAAAGGAGAGCAGTATGTAAGAAAAATATCTGAATGCGCATGCAAAATAACGGTGATGTAATTGAAAAATAGACTACTGTGATGTATACTATTGGTTTCAATGAATTTTATGTTATGAAGACGTAAAGATTGCTGAAGATTTAGTGTTATATCTTTATCGAATATAAACTATTCAAAATGTTCAGAATTGTCAACATGGTTCATCCCAATTGGGGGATATGTAATCAATCTCAAGCCGACCCTGTCACTGTAACCGTTCTAAAAACAATGCGATAGGCTACTAATCAATTATTTCAAGTGGCATTGCCAGATTTGGGAGTGAAACTCTAAATTGGAGGTAATTGGACAGGCAGGATGGGGATATACATACCTAACGCTGGAAAAAGGATCCATATTCTTCTCTTCATATAAGGGCCGGCGATTTGTTTTGGTTTTATCAAAGTATTTTGATGTTGAAGCAATGCTATTGACAGTTTTACATGCATTTTGAGTTATGATAAAATTTTCTGCTAGTTAGTGGAGAGCAACAAATTAAATTAATGATTCATTTCAATTTGAAACATTTTTACTGATTGAACATCATAAAAAAATTGCTTTGTATTCTTGACTGTTTCTTGGTTATGAAGATTTTCGTTCTTGGCTTCAGTTGACCGGTAGCTTTTGATATTCGGTAAAATATCAGTTTTCAGCTCAACACTTAATTATTTTCAACAAATTATATTGCTGGAAAAACTTCAATAGCCAGTATTTGCGGAAATGAAGTGACACACCTAACAGCAATATACGCGTATTTAGAGGATATGAATCAAGTTGGTGAAAAAATATATTATATGAAAGGAGTGTATCACACGGCTCCTAATGCGACATTATTCAAGAAATTGTAATAAAATCACTATAAAAAGTATTATAACATCCTAAATAATTCTTCGGTGGGGTGAAATGATATATGTAAGAATGCGCTGGATTTCCAAGTCGACTATCTTAGCTTTCGTACTCTGGTGTGAAAACAAACTCCGTGAATAAACAGCTGCCTACTGAAGGGTTTTTTCCATTTTCATTATTTTATCTCACTCATCATAAATATGATAAAAATACAGGGTGTCAGTTTGGCAACTTTTCATCCTCAATATCTCCCACCCAGTACATAATATAAAAATCGAACAGACAAGTACAACTTGATTTTCAAGGGGGACACTTCAAATGAATATATTTTAATCTCAATGTTCAAACATCTAGAAGAGGCAGATGTTACTCTTAGAATATGAAATACAAGGGGGGTCAAGTGGCATATCTTTTTGAAAGGTGATCAATTCTCTTTCTAAAATTATTTTTTGATGAGCAGTTTCCGAAAAATTCCGTTCTACATTTACAGAAGTATGTGGAACTTGCCTGCACTGCAGACAAATATTATTGTATTAACCTTCTTATCAATATAGAACTGTGAAGAAAATAGGGTGACACCTTTCCAACTTTTCATCAGGGGCAACACTGGCCAGTAGCCTAAAAAAATTAACATCAATAAGTAATATAATAGCGAAAATAAAATTCACCTGTCTTTTCGATTTTTCATATTGTGTACTGAAAGGAAGATATTCAAGGTGGGAAGTTTTCAAATTGGCACCCTGTATGTCAATGGTACAGCATTTATGAAAACTGAACAGATCTAAGTAGAAATTGATTGTATATTGCTGTTATCTATCAGAAATAAATAACCATAACAAGAAATTATAACTTGTTTTCGATAAAAAAACGTAATTTCATATTACCAATTTTCCAATTATTTCTCATCTGCCCACACCTCGCAGTGTGGGCATTTCACCGGCACAACCTTTTTTATGTAAAAGATAATGAATAAATAATAAAAATATTCAGGTGGAATGTTCATGCAAAGACATTCATGAACATCCGCAACCACTCAATCTGACCAATCAATTTTAATGGAGTTCGAAGTTTCATGACGTACTCTAGAGATTTTTTTTTCATCTTTCCACCGCTCGACCTACAAGGATGACACCCAAAACTATGAGTGTACACAATTCTCTGAGTACTGATTATTCATGTANCGGCTATCGGCACTGCCTTGGGCTCCATCGAAAGGAGAGCAGTATGTAAGAAAAATATCTGAATGCGCATGCAAAATAACGGTGATGTAATTGAAAAATAGACTACTGTGATGTATACTATTGGTTTCAATGAATTTTATGTTATGAAGACGTAAAGATTGCTGAAGATTTAGTGTTATATCTTTATCGAATATAAACTATTCAAAATGTTCAGAATTGTCAACATGGTTCATCCCAATTGGGGGATATGTAATCAATCTCAAGCCGACCCTGTCACTGTAACCGTTCTAAAAACAATGCGATAGGCTACTAATCAATTATTTCAAGTGGCATTGCCAGATTTGGGAGTGAAACTCTAAATTGGAGGTAATTGGACAGGCAGGATGGGGATATACATACCTAACGCTGGAAAAAGGATCCATATTCTTCTCTTCATATAAGGGCCGGCGATTTGTTTTGGTTTTATCAAAGTATTTTGATGTTGAAGCAATGCTATTGACAGTTTTACATGCATTTTGAGTTATGATAAAATTTTCTGCTAGTTAGTGGAGAGCAACAAATTAAATTAATGATTCATTTCAATTTGAAACATTTTTACTGATTGAACATCATAAAAAAATTGCTTTGTATTCTTGACTGTTTCTTGGTTATGAAGATTTTCGTTCTTGGCTTCAGTTGACCGGTAGCTTTTGATATTCGGTAAAATATCAGTTTTCAGCTCAACACTTAATTATTTTCAACAAATTATATTGCTGGAAAAACTTCAATAGCCAGTATTTGCGGAAATGAAGTGACACACCTAACAGCAATATACGCGTATTTAGAGGATATGAATCAAGTTGGTGAAAAAATATATTATATGAAAGATCAGATGACCATTCCTCGTTTTCTAGAAAGATAATGAATCACATGTTGTGGTCAAAATTTTATAGTACCAAAAAAAACTATACCAATGCAATGAAATTTGGGCCCCAACAGGATCATCGGGTTTCATAATACCAAAGTACTGGTATAGGATAATATGTGGAAAATAACATTTTTAACTAGTTTTAAAGATCGGCAGTTGATGCTGAACTCGGAAAAATTTAGACTAACAGAACATTTCTTGGTGGACTAACTGACATCGAGGAAGAAGTTTAATGGCACCCGTTTCGTCAACCAGCTCCCTATTACTGACCCATTTCTGCACCCCTCAGCTCGAAAATTGATAATTAACCGAATTACCAAAGCCAACGCCGTTGGTTCCTGTGAGACGCGGAAGAATCTTCGCAGAACGTTTCGTACCTTGGCTCTGTGGCATCATCAGTGGTTGCATACCCATACCCTGATGCACGACGTACTGCCTCTGGACAAGCTGCAGTTGCTGGATCAACTGTTGTTGCTGCAAGGCAAGCTGTTGGAGAGATCCAGAAGCTTTCTTCTTGTCCGTACTTTGTAGGATATGTGTTTGTTGGATGAGATTCAATTGAAGTTGTTCTTGAAGTTGTTGCATCGTCTGCTCGATTTGTTTCTTTCCCAATTCGGCTAACTGATGTTGCTGAAATTCAATGAGTTGTTTTATGCGACAGATTGAAAGGAATCATAAATTCCAAGTGCCATTACCTGAGTCGTAGGAGTTTTTGTAGGAAATCAAATCAATTAGTAATCAGATCTGCGCTTTCTTAGAATAGGAAGATAATAGATCAAAACATTTCAGTTAGTAAAACAGATAATTGACAGTTTTCCGAAAGTCTACTGAGTTTTCTTCTCCGCTTGTATGATAATCAAGAAAATGGTTCAAGTTTCTCTATTAACTATGGGGCACTTTAAATTTTCAATTCGTGGAATTTTTCAGACTGGATAGATATTGATGTTAATTATGAATGGATCACCATTGTACTGTTTATTGTCGATACTGAGGAAATAGGGGTATAGTTTCTTCAGAGAAGAATCAAAAGTAATATTTCCACTGTCATAATTCATCGTATGAGTACTATGTCTAGACATTTCACGCGTGCCTCACAAAATCCATTACATCCATGGTAAAAATTTTAGACCACAGTGGATTCTGTTTCTATGCTTGCTTTTACCCAAAATTTAATGAATTGTTTTTTTTTCAGAATAGGATATAGTGAGTTTTGCAATGCCACGACTCAATTATTTTCGAGACATCATCAATTGAAAACACTTTTTCCACACCAAAACCAAAATACTACTTCTGGGGACGTATTTTGATGTGAAACATCAATAACCGCACGTAAAACCGATTGTTGACATGAGGATACTTGCCGTGGCGAACTGTGCAAGCGACTGTGCTATTCACTTCTCACTGGTTCGGCGTTACGCTATCCCTCTCGCCACATTGAGCTCGGTCTAACTAGAAAAAAATTGGTAATATTTTATTTTCACATGCTTATTATAATATTAGTTCCTGTCGTAATCTGTTTTTTATGCATATTATTTGTACAAAATAACTTCGATGTTTCACATCTGCCAGGCGTCCCGTGAGGGCTCACAATTTTTTTGTTATGATGTGTTACGAAGTGTTTTCAATAGATTCATTTTACGTTAGAGGTTCCAATTTTTTCTATTGAGTGGATAATAATTTCAAATTTATCCAGGCAGAAACATTCCAGATAAAAATATTTCTTCAACAGATTTGAGAAGATGAGAATACACTTTGTAAATACGTTAGTCTGTTGAAGATGATTTCGATTTTACGACCAAAAACTCCTATCACCTACTTTTTGTAAAAACAGTACCTGGTGTTGTTGTTGTTGCAATATCGAATGTTGCTTCATCAGCGTTTGTAGTTGTGACGGACTCAGTACGTGCTGTTGCAACAATTGCTGCATATGATGGAGATTAGATGTTGGCGTTGACATTATTTGGGGCCCCGGTGTTTGGGACTGATTGTAAGGGTAGTCATTTGTTAACTTCGTCGTATCATTCTTGAACAAAAAACGGATAGGGATATCCTTACATAGTTCTCAACGGGCAGAGAGGTGTAACTTTAGTATCTAATCTACTCGAATTATATTGATAGTGTGGATTTTTTTACCTGTGGCATAGGTGGTATTGTGGCACTGAGATTTTTCTGCGAGTCGGCCGTAGGTGCCGGAGAATGTTCCTGTACCCTGTGTTCTGAATTCGGGCTGGAGCTGCCATTACCCTTGATGTCTCGTTCCCTTTCCTGGTCCCAGCCTCGTTCTATTTCCAGTTGCTGCTGCTGTTCTTTTATCACTTTTTCTAACGAAGCTGCTTGCTGCAACAAAAAAAAATCAAAATTGTCGAAGTTTTTCAGAGCGCCCAAGGTTATGAATGGTACGGGGTCAGACTTCCATTGTCTGGAAAAGTGTGAACAGATTTGAAATGATTTGAAAATAGATCAATGAATGGAGTATTAAAAACAATGGAAGCAAAATATTTGACTGGATTGATTCAAAAAGTGTTGATAATATCCAAAAACATGAACAAAAAAAGGAATTTAAAATGGAAAGCAGTGATAATTTGCTAAAAAACAATCATTGCGACCTGAAATGAAAATGAATCATTGACATGGGTCAAAAAAATGTTACAAAAATGAGTTTGTGTTCACACTACATGGATTTTTACAACTGCCTAAGAAAATTTATTTTCATATATGGCGAAGTTATATTCATTTACAGAAATATTGCCTTGTTTCTTATCAGAATTGTCAGTACCATGAAAAATCAAGAATCAAAACACTTTGAAGTGGAAAATGTTATTAATATATGCAGGTTAAAGAAATTTTTTTCACATTTTCCACTGTTCAGCTTTCGCTGAAAAATATCCCACATAACTAAAGGCATGATGTGATAATGAATCAGAATTTCTCATTATTCCGATTTGATATGTCAAGAGATCACCGCCCTGGAATGCTTTTAGGTTCTTTGCCACATTCGTATTGTCTAAATTCCGAATTCATAATATGAAGAGGGATATTTCTATGTTTTGCTTGGAAGTGAGGACCAGTGCCGTGTTCACAAAATGATTCTCTCGAATCTATATAGATTTTGCACTGGTTGAAACAACAACAATAATTTTTCGGATTATTCGGATAGTGGATATTGAAAAAAATGTCGAATACCCCACATCAAGGCAAATGTTCTAGTTTCATGGGAAATACTTAACAATCATCTGATCATCAGATAATTGTTAGGTATATCCAGTTGATATGAGAGCATACTAAGACGAAAGGACAAAAAAATAAAAACAGTTAGAGAGCTTTTTATATTTTCCACACTCTCCTCGTTCTGTTGTATCTGTTTTTAAAATCTGTTTTTCAGTTAACCAGCCGTCGCACCCCTACGAACGACAGCCCTCAGAAGTCGAAACTTGTGCGAGCTAAGGATTAACGAGGTCTTACCTTTTAACGTGTGATTCCTAACACGGGTTGGACGATAGCAAGTGAAGATCGATCGTTCAGACTAGGGCTTGAACCACCGACCAACACGGCAACAAAGCACCCACGCCGAACCGCTTGGCTACCGACATATATTTAATGCTTGTGACAAACTGATTATTATTGTTAATAGTGGCATCTTCTATACATAAATGATTATTTTTCTTTGAATAGTTCTTGTTACATAGTCGAAGTTGGTTAGTTTTGATTACCTGGTGTGTTCAGTTGTCGCTAGTTTCGATGATATGACATGATTGGAATTTGGAAGTAGTTTCTATAGATTTGAAATCATAAAAATTTCGAAAAACATCTGGAAATCAGACCGAAAAGCGAATCTGTAGAATTTTGAAAATTTTGGAACAACGTGCCTAGTTGGTTGAAGCAAAGTCAAGGGCAATAGGGAAAATATATGACACAAATTCGAGCGGACTTCTAAGTGGATAACATCACGAGGAAAACGACGATAAATAAGGTAGAAGACTATCTAGTGCAAAGCAACGTATTCCAAGTTAACTATGCCAGTATTGTTCTTGCACATCCAAAGAAAAATCCAGTTTCAAATTTTGTGCCGTTTGAATGTTCAAAAATCTGCATCTATTCTCTCATCGCGAATAAAATGTTAAGACAGTCAATGTTGGTTAGTTTTAGTCACCTTGTTCGATTTAGTTGGAGTTATGTTTTGACAATAATATAATAGGAAAAAAGTTCTAATATTCTTTTGGATTTGAAACCAGTGAAAATATTGCCTGAAAACATCCGCAAATCAGGCTTGCAATCAGCAACAGTTCTAGTACAGACTAAATAGTTACTACCAAATGGTATTTTGAACCGAGAGTCCTGGACATATATTTCATTTCAAATATTTGTTTTGTAGATTTGAATAGTAACCTCAAATAATAACAGAAGAGATGGTTGAAGAGACGCATTTTTTGAGGAGTGTTGCAGCTCTGATCTGCGGAAGGAGTATGTTTCGGATGTCAAATAATGTTTCAAAGAATATTTGTTTGATATTTTCTGAAAAAAGTTTGAACAAACACTGGTAGGTCCCACACTTTCATTGAATTTAGATATTTCACTATATGGCAGATTTATTTCTACGTAAAATGCCTTGTAGATTTGTAAAAGTGGTGTTTCTTACACTTGAAAGTAAAATCAGTGCAACTTATTCATAACACGCCAGAAGAATCTATTGCATAGTGAAATATGTTGCGTTTTCGAAAACTGTTTGGTGAAAATCTCATGATTTGATATTATTTGAATACTAATCATGAAATATTTATCAGATATTTCATGTGGCAGTGCGTTATCATACTATTAAGTTCAATGCCGTTTTTCATGTTGAATTATTGAAATATCACATTTTCCAGAGCCATTTTTGAATACTTTTCCATACATTTCCTCGAAAAGATCTCAAACTCTGAAGAACCATAATATTCCAGCTGCCACTGGAAGAAAACAGTTCGTGCATGATATAAATGTGATTGATTTCCAGCGCGTCGCGTGGATGCAAAAGTTCGCATTAGATCGTAGGAAGCCATGTATCTCCGAGCAATGGTCCGGCTATAATACCTGTACACCTTCCACAGATATATTGCCGGTACTCGGCTAAATAATCTAGACGTAGTGTCTTGGCTCAGTTTGCCTTCTCACTCCACTCGGAAGATAATATTACCTTATTTTCGCATAAAAAATATTCTGACAGCTTGCATTACAGACGAGAACGTGTGTTGACTCGAGACTATGGCGTCAGAAGTGGGAAGCTAGAGCAATAGAGTGGGTGTTAATATAGATATTTTAATTATAATTTTCATGAAACTGGATGTTGGTTATTATTTTTGTGTAAACACAATCACGAATATGATTTCAGCAAAAAAAGAAGTTGTTTTCTGGCAAGCATATACTATATCCTTATATGAAATTTTCAATTTGTAATATTCTCAATTACGGGTCTAATGATGTAAATGAAATATACAGTAATATTGAGTCGAAAGGTGAAATACTATCAAATGATATTGCGCCAATAGTTGAAAGTGAGAATAAATCAAATCAAGTCTCCTGGTATGACGACGAAATCAGATCTGCTTCGAAACTTAGAGACAGGGCTTACAAAGAATTCACTAAAAGTTCCGGCATAGAGAAGGAGGAGTCCTGGAAGCGATATAAACTGGGACGGAATCAAGTTGTTAATATGTTAAAAATCAAAAAGTCTCAAAACTATGAAAACATAATTGATGCGAATAGTGATAAATTGCAGAAAATGTGGAAAATAAAGGAAATATTGATATAAGGTGACAAACAACCATTTAAATTTCAAATCTATCAATTTTAGTACTAATGGCGCTGTCGTCAAAGCGAGAACGGAGCTACAAGCTGCTAACAACTTCAATTCATTTTTTGTTGAAAGTGAAGATATCTCCAATTCTATTGTAAGTGGAACACAATGGTCTCCTCAAAATCTAAATAATATAGAAACGATATTTGTTGAATTCGAGAAGATTGATATAAGTAAGCTGAATTCAATTATTTGTTCCCTCAAAAATAAAGGCAATGCTGAAGAAGTAATGTCTGCTACATTTTTGAAATCAATATTTTTTACACTTGGATTTCATATCCTAAAGTTAATACAAATATCAATGTCATCTGGTAACTTTCCAAATAGTTTGAAAAAAAGTACAGTTATTCCCATCCCAAAAATAAATGATGCAGTTGATATGTCAGACTTCAGAGCAATAAATACTTTGCCGATTATTGAGAAAGTTTTGGAAATTGTTGTACATGAACAAATTACTAGGTACTTTACTGAAAATAACCTTTTTATAGGAAATCAATCCGGATTTAGAGAACACCACTCGTGTGAAACTGCCCTTCAATTAACAGTTTCAAAATGGAAGAATGAAATCGATAGTGATAAATTTATAGTATCAGTGTTCCTTGATTTCAAGAGGGCATTCGAAACTATCGATAGGCAAATATTACTTCATAAATTGAGATATGGAATCGATGGAATAGCCTTAAGTTGGTTCGAAAATTATCTCAATGGCAGGTCACAAATAATTAGAGTGGGGAAATGTTTCTGAAATGAAATTTCAAACCATATAGGCGAACCCCAAGGGAGTATCCTAGGACCACTGCTGTTTATAATTTACCATGAACTGAAATCAATTGACTATGAAAAGCTACAACTCGAAGTGGAGGTAGACAAAACTGAATGGGTGTCAGAATTCAAGTATTTAGGCTTCGTGTTGGATAAATCACTAACTCTCAATGCACACTGTGAATATATTTGTAAAAGAATATCAAAAAAACTATTTTTTTCTCCAGGATTTCATCGGAAGTTTCCATGTTTTCAAAAATAAAAATATACAGAACCATTATACAGCCCCATTTTGATTATTGTTCCACTCTACTTTATCTTTTAGATAAAAACAATATACAATTATCAAATTCATGACTACAACACAAGAACCACCAATCAATTCCACATTTCCAGGACAAGAACAAAGCAAACTATGAAATCGTTGTTTTTCAGAGGATTGAATCTGTTTTAAAAAATTTGTTTCAAACTCTGTTTTTCCATTAACCAGATGTCGTACCCCTACGAACGACAACCCTCAGAAGTCGAAACTTGTGCGAGCTGAGGATTAACGAGGTCTTACCTTTTAACGTGTGATTCCTAACACGGGTTGGACGATAGCAAGTGGACGATCGTTCAGACTAGGGCTTGAACCACCGACCAACACGGCAGTCATTTCGAGTGAGTGAACAAAGCATCCACGTCGAACCGCCTGGGTACCGTCCGACCGATGTGAACATAAACTAAAGTTGAAAGTTGGGGAGCG